CCCATCAGAGGCCAATACTAACCCAGATAGCATCAAAAAGCTGGGGGGGAGGGCCAGAAAAAAAAAGAACGTAATGACATTTTTTTGTTTCTGATGAGACATTGGGAGTGCCTTTCTACAACACACTTACAAACCAGTTATATGCTACCAGACCCAGCCACCACAAGACGACTAATACACAGCCACTTCAGCCATCGCAGAGTGCACTGTTTTTGGGTGGAACAGCAGTTTTAATGTGTTCTTCAGTTATATGACGTTAAACATATTCTAAGTAGAATTTTTAAGACTACCTCTCAACAACTGAAAGCATCAAGGGCTGGTATTTCCTAAGCAACCTTCATATTTTGCCACCGCCAAAGTAGAAGATTAAAATTATTTTCTAAAGCTTACTAATGCCAGCTCCTTTTATACAGCTTGCCGTGGAATACCTAAATGGAACAGCAGTGCTTTAATGATACAAGTTTTCCCAAACACGCTTTTTCCCCCTTCTTCGGAGCAAAACAGTTATACTTGAGGTCAAAGTTACTGAGTAGGTTCAGGCATCTTTTGAGAAGCTGGCTTGATGAATGTATCTTGAATTCAGAAAAATTAATATGCCTTATCAAAATAAGAGTTAATTACAGGGATTACATTATTGCACACACACCCATTTACTGGTTCTTAGCACTTACCGCTTTTACTTTAAATCAAGATAATTTTGGTATTTAAGCAAACAGGTTAATGGGCAGGCAAGATAAAAAATATTGCAGTCAAAAGCCTCTAAGTATTAGTACACACCTATGCATCAGAACACAGTAAAAAAAACTTTATAGGTATGCTGGATCAATAAAAGCTAAACATAATAAAGAGTTGATGATTATCAAGAGGTGGTACTTAGACATGCTTAGAAACATAGTATTCCTCAGAAAATTTGACACCCTTCTGCTAGATCCCAGTTTGGCTGCCTCTCCGTACAATGCCACAAGGATGCAGAGGGGACCCTTAAAACAAAACCAGAAAAGGAAAACATCAAAGTAGCCACCTGTTTTGAAAAACTCTTACCATGTGTCAGGCATTCACTTGCCAAGGGAGTGGCAATATTTATCAGCTTTCCTGCACTAGCTAGTCCTGATACCACAATCAAGGCTCAAGAGTTAATGATTTCCCCCTGTGAAAACTCCAGTGAGCCAAGCTGCAGGGCTGGGCTCTGTCCTTGATCAATGCTTGCAACCTGTTACTCATCCAGCCCTACAATATGAAGTACAGAACCCCTCAGGTGAGACTTGGAGCACAAGGTCAATATTTCATTTAAGGTTCATTTTCCTTCTTCCTGCAGGGCTCCTCCATCTAGTGAGCTCTGAAGGCTTGTATCTTGTTACTGCATCAAGGCTGTAACCATAGCCAGCTGCTGGCAAGAGCCCAAGCAACTTGCACTCACTGCACAGCCCATTAACCCATATCATTCCAAACCAATGCCAGCAGAACACCAAATTTCACACCCATTTCCACAACGTCCTTTGTTTTGTACCCACAGCTCCATTATCTGAGGGAAAGACATAAAGAACCTGTCCAGGCTGTGGGATTCCATCTTTAACACCACGCCTTTGTCAACCGCTGCTGGTCACCATTTCTTTTCCCTTCTAAGCAGAAGGCTTTGTTTCTGAAGTGCTTTTAAGACAGTTGCTTGTTTACAGTTGGTGACTGCTCACTTAAAACCAGGGACCCCTGAAATGATTTTGGTCACTAACAAATATGTCCTGCTCCAGAGCCTGAGCACATCCTCCCAGAGGGAAATTTGGAAGAGCAATTAGTTTTACCTAGATTTGAATCTCCCATTTTCCATGAGTCCCTGAAGCACTTCAAAATGCAGTTACAGGACACAAGGTATCTGACTTTGCTACTTGAAGAGGAGGATTCTGCTTTCTGCTGCAAGCACACAGTGTTTGGGACTGGTTCACAGGTGCTCAGTAACAGAGAATCCTATGGGCCAGAAGTCTGCTCTGGAAGAACGCTTTCAGATGATTGATCAAGATCAACAAGGGCATACTCCCTGGAATCAAGACAAAAACCTGAGATAAATATAAACACCACAGGGTGGGGTAGAAAAACATCTCCCCATTGGGGCTATTTGAGGCAGGCTCCAAATTCCACTTTCCCCACCATCACTTTACCAAGACAGTTTTCACATCATTCCCCACTTTCAGTCTCCTCAGCCTATACCCACAACTGACACCAACTGAATCTTCTGGAGGTTTTGTGTCTGGTGCTACCCAAGCGCAGAATGAGGCCAGATCACAGGACACACCAGCAACAAGGGAACTCCTTCTCCACACAACCTAGCTCAAGTGTCCTGGTCAGTTATTCAAGACATAATCTCAAAGTAGTTCATTCACCATATATACAAAGAGGCAAACACCAAAAAATGCTGAATGTATATTCAGGGCTTGAAAAGACTATGATTAACTGATGAATTGCAATGGTTTTACCTCATTCATGCATTTTAAAGGATTTATCTTCTGTGTACAGCCATGTTCAGGCTCTGGAGAAGCCCTAGCCATATATAAAGAGCCCATGATATCTATTTAAACATGTTTCCAGGTCTGTGATGTCTTACAATGAAATTGATAGAGCAAGAACAACTACAGCACTGGGACAAAATAAAGTTATCTAAAAGGGTTATCAAGTTATAATCAAGTGCCTTACTTTTTGCGACACTTTGGATTTACAGTAACTACAACTCTTAGTCACTAGTTGTCATAGATATTGCAAGCTCAGAGCAATGAGGAAGAACAAGGAGAACACTGCCACTTGGTGGAAAAGGGGGATAGGAAACGTTTGCAACTGCTCCAAGTAAAACTACTTTAACAATGATGTTCCACCCACACACACACGGAGAGAATTTCTTAACAGCATGGCTAGTGCAACTCCATCAGTGCCCCACCGAATGCCGTGCAGCAACATGCCTGTTCTGTTACCAGCACAGCACTGGGCTGCCTTGCAGTATGCTGCGTAGCAAAGGTGTGCTTCTACCTCTCCCCCCAGTGCCAGCTGGCTATTTAGCTAGAATTCAAAAAAACCCAGAAGGCCAGAGGAGGCTATTCCCTTCTTCACTTATGTATGAAGACATCTATTAAGGATGACACGGAAGTCTGAAACTGCTAAGTTCAGATTTGCCTCCCTGCTATTCTTCTCAAATCCTCACCTTTCATGCCATGCTAGGATGGCAAGAATTACACTTGACCTTTCTTTTTCTTTTTTTTTTTTTTTTTTTTAAGTTTAACTTTAATTTACATTTTCAGTTCTTGCAGAGTTCCTACTGCAGAGTGTACCCAAGATACCAAATGCTCTTTATACATTCAGCGTTTCTTTGCTTCCCCACTGAAGCTGAAACACTGCTCCGTGGCCATGTGTAGCTCTTCTTCAGAAGGGCACAACGCACCTAGATAGTAGCACATAGAACTCACTGAAATCAAGAGGCTTTTTAAACAAGCCAACATGAAACATCAGCAACATGTTAAAGTAGTAGCCACACAATTCAGTGGTAAGATTTCTGTAATGCATCATCACTCAGACAAGACCTACTATAGTCTGATTTTGTTCTTTCTCTCTTTGCCAGATCTTTTCTCCATTGCCCTGAAGTCCTAGAGCCCTTTTAGAGACAGAAATGCATACAATTGCAACAGGGCCCTACTACAGGGGTGGTGGTGATGTACACCAAATATCTCTTTTAAAGAAAACCCATCTGTTCTTCTTTCACAGTACACATTGAATCCAGCAGTTTTTACAGAAACATCTTGCTAGCATGCTTACCAGCCACAATGGCAAAAATTTAGAAGTAGAAAAAGGATAACAGTGAGAGACTACCTTTTCCTCTCTTCCAAAAAAAGGTAATTTATTTTTCTTGCAACAAGGAAAGGAGACAATACATTCAATTTCTGAGTGCCTCCTACCTGTATGCCAAAGGCATTAATGATATTTTACACACTGATGCAAGAGACTTTACCAGCTGCAGTACAGCTGCCAAGATTTTCAACTGTGTATCACTATAAACGCATAAAAATATTGTGGAAACTGGAAGAAGGTGCTGCTATGAAACTAAATTAAGCAGAATAGCTAAACACATTCACCTGCCTTCGTCTTGTCCTATCAAAGCCCTATGCTAATCCAAATGCTCTCCAGAATTTCAGTTTGCAGCACAGTCCTCCAGTTTCCTTAGCAGAGCTTAGAGACTGTCTGCATCCTTGAGGAAGCTACTGGATAAAATAAAGGCCCTTGCAATTGTCATTCACTCGGTATCCCACAAGGCTGCTTATATTGCATGGGGGACTGAACTAGCATAAAAATTGGAGCACAGTTCTCTATAAAGTTTCAAATGGATTTGGTCTTTTGTCTGTCTTCCAGATTTTAGCCTGATGTATGTTCCTATGTGCTGTTAAACACCTGTTGTTCAGCAGAAACAAGATGTAATCCCAAGATAAAGACGACTAACTATTTATGATAGCTACCATCTGGGGATCTTATTTCACTTTTTAAATTTTAAATACAACCTTTACAAAACTGCTTCATTCAGAAGGACAGAAAGAGAGCTGGTGACAACTGAATTGGTTTTGACACATTTCATGACCTCTAGGAGCAATAAGGTCATTTATTCGTTAAGTTGTTCTAAACGAAGAAAGTATTCCAGCTAACACTGGTCATAAGAGAATTCTGTACTGAATACTACATCTCCCAGATCACTGCAAAATAGGTGAGATGCTGTCAGAAAACCTACCTCAGATCTAATGCACAAGATGACTAAGTTCATGAATGCAGATCTTGATCGTGACTCAGCCCGTAGCCTAACTGGTTATCTACCTTTGGCAGAAGCCAGAACTAAAGTAAAAAAAAACACGTTACAGCTACAAAAAGGAAAGTATGAAACTAGCTACGGAAGATCGCAAACGAACACCAAGCCATGCTGTTAAAACTTATTCCTCTTGTACTGAACTTCCCCCCCACCACCATACCACACTTTCAAATACCTTTAGGTCACCAGCCTCAGGTTTTTCAGTCTCTGAATCGTCATCTTCCTACAAGACAAGAATTTACAGGATTAAGCTTAAAGAGCAGGCTTGGCAAGTAACTGCACTTACAAGAAAGGGCTCGCATTCAGCAGCCCAGCAGTAGTCCAAGACCCTTTCCACGGAAGGTAGTTTTGCCCCACCCACTCATGACCAGAAAACAAGCCCTACAGTCAGGGAAAGAAGTGTTTGTTTGGGTTTTTTTAGGCAAAAGCATCACTCAGTAGCAGATGTCCCCCACAAAACTCATGCAGCTCCTGAACGCTCAGAACTAGGCAATAAGAAGCAACAGAACTGGGGAAAAAAGCATTTGTCATTTGATATTTCTGCCTCTTCCAGTTGGCAGGTGGGCTTTTTGCACTTGCTCCCGTTTAGCAGTACTCACAGAAAAAGCAGCATTTGCAAGACCTATTATACTCCCAAGCATACATCAGCAACACACAGAGGACACACAGCTGGCCTGCCATCCAACCAAACATGCAGGCTTGGTGAGGGTCTGGCCTAGCACCAAGTTCCAAGGATCCGGTGATGCCAGCAGATACTGCATCCTTCTTGTTTGTGTAGTGCTCTTGTAGCCTCGTTTGCAGATGATGTGAACTTGCACAGAAGGGAACCACTGACAAATTTCACTGTCTTAGGTAACAGACTCCATTTGGTTTTTATTTCTACCCAGAAATAAACCAAAGAACTGGGCAAATTTCTGCCCTGTGAGAGCTTAAAATACTGAACTCAGCCTCGTGTAAAATTCCACACCGCGTGAGAACTAAGCTCCAGCTTTGGTCCCAACTGGCAGGTAAGCCTACTGTTCCGCTGCCCTATGAGCTACTTCGCTAGGGATCCTAGAGTGACCTATGTTTCTAGACATAAATACATACTCTGGGTTAAAAACAAGTTTGAGGAGCAGAAAATGCTTTTCATGCTCACACAACTCAGCAGAATGGTTTTTCCTCCAAACTTCGCCACAAATTTCAACTTTGGCCCCAAAACAAGAACTTGGTGTTTCAGCTTCAAAAAGAAAAACAAAAAAAGAAGTGAGATGATTACATGCAACTGAAAGGAAGAGTTTACAACGAAATGCCCACCTCAGGATATTAGCACATGAGCAAGTTCTGGCAAAGGAAGCTAGAGAATGACCACACAATAATGTCAGTGAGTTTTAATTGCCTGAATTAACATGCATATCCCACAGAAGTGAGACATCAAACTCCTTCACTTCAGCTACTCTCCAGCTTACTTTTCTGAAACATGTACATATGCCAATAATTCAGTCTTAACTATCAAAGTTTAATAACAGTAAGTTTGTAACTAGAAGAGAACCATAATCCCAAGTAACTTCATGTTTATCACAAATGAGATTCCTCTCCCCTCCACAGTCCCACCTATGTTATAAAGATAAAAGTCATTTTCAGCAAAGCAACAATGGGTTGAATCATTCATGTTATAGATGGGTAACTGAAACAGCTCCCCAAACCTCCTAACCTAGCAGGGGATATCACTGAAACAACATCAAGAAACAAAGAAGCATTACTGAGAACTGCCTTTGATAAGACAGAGGCTTTTCAGTCACTGTTAAGGTAGATAATATAAGCACAGAGTTGTTCAGATAAAAGCCCAGGACAACCTGAGTCCAACTCGCATTGCTTTCTACAAACAACTCATAACCAAATAAGCTACTAGCACAAGCAATATCAAGGAAGCTCTTGATTCTGGTCAAAGACTTCTTAATGCAAAAAAACAAGCACTGCTCTCCTGCAATAAGACTGGAGAGAAGGCACTCTGTGTAACCTGCGCACATCTGTACAGTAACTGCAAATATATGCGAGACCTATTGGCTGACACCAAAGTGACTCGATCGATTGCCATTACTTGAATGGCAACTCGTACCTCCCAAATGATGGACAGCTGCAACCTGCACTGAAAATTGTGCATGCAATAAAGGCTACTCCATTTACCTGCCCATTTCTTAATGCTAACTAAACACAACTGATCTTGACTAGCATCTGGATCACACCTACCACTTTCTTTAAACTAAAAAGATCTCTTTGAAGGGGGATCTAAAGAAGTTTTGGATATAAAAAGAATTACTAAAGCAGTAAAAAACTTCACTATTTTGCTTAGCCAGATGCCAGGAGCAGACCCTGAATGCTACTGCTTGCACCTTCTCCAGTTAGCAACAGAACAAAACCAAAAGCAAGAACAAGAGACAGACAAATTTCTTGTCTGCTACTTGGGAAAACAGATGGCAGAAACAGCGAGTGTCTCATAAGAGACTGATCTAATGCACACAAAGTAGATTTCAACAAGGAAAGGTTATAGTAACATAGCCCTATTTCTTTCCTCTACCATGTAGCCAAAAAACTAGAACAGGGACAAGATAACACATTCTTAATATGGTGGTAAGCAAAAGGTTGATGAGAAAGAAAGGAGACAAGAACCTCCCTCCCCACTCCCCCAAAACTTACTGTTTTGCTCTTACAGACACATGAGAGAACTATATATCCTTTTGTGTATTACAGCTGCACTCATAGGCAGTAAGCTACATGCCCTGTCTCACAAGGTACCGATTTTCTCAGCATTTAGGTAATGTTATACACATGCCATGCACCTATGACAAACAAAAGCCACTCACGTCTAGACAGGACACTGTTACATCAAGATAACCTGATGCAGTAAGTGGGTTTAGTTATACACAAAAGAGTAATTTAAGACATCACAGAACTTTATTCTTTTTAATCCTCCAGCTGACCATGTAACAGTGTGTTCCTTTTACAAGGTTCTCATATACATCAACTACGCTTAGAGAATAATTTTCATTTAGCGTGGCTGTTGACTTGTACCAGCCTTTTTCCCATAAAAGAGTCAAACGGCATCAACACAGTTAGTAACAAGCAACACGAGCTGCGTCAAGCTGCTGATGGGTTTCAAGACAAATGCTTTCTACTTGAAAACAAAGTGAATAGAAGTATTTGGAGAGTGCTAAAACCCACACCAGGAGTCAGATATTCAGGGTTCCAGCTTGGGTTGCCGGTCAGGGGCTTTCCTTGGAGACAGAAAAGCCTCTGCAACGCGTGAAAGGGATCAGGGGCAAGCTCTCGGAGCAGAGAGGTACTTACTGACTGCCTGCTGTTCTCATCATCCTCTTCTTCATACCCGTCCTCGTCCCCATCCAGGCGGGTGAAGTCGTCGTCTCCGTACCCCACCGAGACCAGGCCCCCTTTCTCTCCTAAAGAGGAAGGTAAAAAGAAAACCATAAGGAAAGGGGAGGTGGCAACGAGCGGGACTTTCCCTCACACAGGGGAAGGCGGCGGGCCGGGGCGGGCCGCGCGGGGCAACCCCCCGAGCAGTAAGGCTGCAAGCAGCACATCTTTCACAGCCACTAGCCAAGGCAGGAATGGGTAATACCCACTCACACTTATTTCCAGCTTAACCACACACCAATTGCTGATTCTCCATTACCAACTACATTATCATGAAAAAGCAAGCAATTAGAAGCCAGTTAATACAGCATGCATAGTCTGACTTAACACACACCCAGCAACATCCTAGACCACACACACCCAGCCACTAGTAAACAGCAATATAATTGAATTTTATGACCCAAAAATGCAAAGATCCAGCTGCAAGGATCATTAACAATTTTGTAAGTAAGCTATAAAACCTTATACCCAGGTTGCAGTCAAAAACACAGGTTGCTTGTTTCTTATTTTTAAGCAATCCACTCTTTCTTTTTGTAAACACACTTATTTTTATGCCAATATTGTACTTGCAGTTGCCTACAGTCAGAAACAGTTACTACCATAAACATGATTATCTTGCCTTTAGTTTTTACATGGTCACCCCTTCTCACTATGTTTCACTGGTGAGATGAAAACAGATGATGGAAAGTCAGAAGAGAAGTTACAATGCAGGCTTTCGGGCTAGCAACATATGGTCACAGATAGCCATTAAAGGGGCAAAAATGCTTTAAAGAGCTTTCTCTGGCAGCTGGTTTATCTTCCTTTTTAATATCCTCAGAGCATGTTTCTAAAGCGAATCACACAGCACCCATGGGTCACAGGAAACATCCTGCCCGTTATAATGGAAACCTACTTTGATGCCCTTCAACAGTTCAGTGTGATCTCTCTCCACTTTCTTGTGCTTGGAGAGCAAAGGATCCTTGTGGTTGTTCTTGTTCCTGGCAATGTTATCCATGGCAGGCAGCTCGTCACTCTCACTTCTGGGTCTCTTTTGGGCCATCATGGTCGACTTTGGTGCAGGATGTGCAGGAGACGGGGGGGGGGGGGGGGGGGGGGGGGGGGGGGGAATCATTGGTGCAGGTGGCAACGAGACAGGGCAGGCCTCTGCCAGAGGAGGGTGGCAGCGTTTGGGTTTAGCATCGGTTCCTGTCACTGTTCGCAGCTTCTCTAAGATGAGCGGCGAGGCTCCCCCGGGCCTGGAAGGCAGGGTCCAGAAAACGCTGCGAAAGGTCTTCGGGTTTGAGTCCTTCAAGACTTCCCTTCAGGAAAGCGCGACCATGACTGTGGCAAGAGGTGAGGCTCGGCATCGGAAAGACGTGAAACACATCTGGTTTTCCATCTTCCTGTGAGGGTGGTACTGCAGCAGTTCGTATTGCACCTGTTTTGAGGAGACACGTCACCTGGACTAGGCAGGACCACCTGGCCCTCCAACCCTCCAAGGCTCCTCTGCTTTGAGATCATTTCAGTGGCATAGGAGCACGAGCATGTGCTGTACACAAGCTTTCTGAGCACGGCTTTGCCCTACTTGTTCTCCTTTGTGTTTGTTTTGTAACCCCACTATTGCATCAACCAGAAAATAGGAAACCTTAAAGTACAGTCTTGCTGGTATCTCCACTGGAGGCATCTGCCAGCATGTTTATGGTCAGATGAGGTCAAAACTGTTTACATTTATATATTTTCAGAGTAAACCCATCCTTGTAGACAATTTTAGACACAGGTGATATCAGTAGAAGACTTTATTTCCTGGCATAGTTTATACCTGTTCTCTGAATCATGTGGCTGTTACCAGAAACGATTTTGCTGGTGTTAACGTATCCACCAACAAACTGCTGTTGGTTGGACAGGCAGCTCATGCATACAAGCTGTCAACCGTCAGCTCCCCTGGCAGGTCTCACAATGCGAATCAGAACAGTGTCAAACTTGGCGCTCAGGATAGTTACAGTTTTCATCTATCGCCAGCAGCTTTGCAGATGTGCTATTGACAACAGACCAGCCAAAAGCCGTGTTCTGTCAGCCAGGTGTCTCTGCTTGTTAACATTGCATGCGCTGGCATCTCCCTGACTTGAAGTGGATACTGGTTAGCGCAGTGATGGTTACTAACTGCATGATGTTATCGATGTGGTTGAGATTTCCAACCCTTACTTCTTCTGAGGTACCTTTCTGGGATAAGCTTTAAGAGGATGTGGTACATATCTGTCATGGGGGTGGTAATTTGGTAACTGGAGGTCTGTAAGATGAGTGAAAGCAGCTCGTCTGGAAGAGAATTAGCATGAATAACTTGTTTAACTTTCTCTTTAGTTTCTGTATATCTTCTGGTACTTTTGTAAGGCTGTTTCTAAATGTTTACAAAGCAATCAGAGATTCTTTGAAGGAAACCATTGCAGGCATGCAAAGTATTGCTATGCTTTTAGAACCTAAAATGAAGTGTCTTTTGTTGGTATGCCACACAGTACACGCACACATATGCTGTTTCTCACAGATTACAAGCCATTGTGCCCACCCCTCCAGACAGAGCCCTGGGAACTCCCCACCACTCAGTAGCCTTGAGCTTTCTTCTGTTGTCTTTGCAGGCGAGAAGGATGTCTTTGTATGCATGCCCACAGGGGCAGGGAAATCCTTGTGCTACCAGCTTCCTGCAGTTCTGGCAGTGGGCATCACCATTGTCATTTCACCTCTGATTGCACTGATTCAGGTAACTGTCTCCTGTTAGCTGTGGAAAAGCAGTCAGCGAAGGGGGTCGGGAGACGCTGGAGGCACAGCTGCCTCTTGTCTTTCTGTCCACGAGTCTCTGCTGTTGGCCTGCCTCTGGATTCTCATCTTCATGTCTCGGTGTGTTTTCCTTACCTGGTGATAGGTGAAGAGACTGCAACTTAGCTGCAGAGCAGAGTAGCTGGTATGATGCTATGCAGTTCTCTGAAAGGAGGTTCTTCTTTAATAATAACCTGGTGGTTTTTATAACTGAGCCTTTCTCCATTTTCTCCAGTTGTCTTTAACCTCCAGTGTGCTATACAGAAACAGCAAAGTAGAGTACCTCAAATGGACCAAACCGGATCTTTCCCCAGAAGAAAACTGCCATTTTACCTATAAAGTAATAACTCCAGGAATGATGAAGTTGCCTTTGAAGGCATAATTTGTTCTGCATCAAAATATCTTTTTGTTGCGGTCAGTCTTTGTGTCATAGGAAGAAGCTGGTTTAGCAGAGTTGTTCCTTGAGCACTTTCATCTGTGAGACCTTTTTTTTCTGGATTTTGCCTTTTCTACTGTTCCATCACCTGTTGGGAGAAACACCTCCCTGTAAGGGCAGCTATAGCATTGCTTAGACTTCTGTAAAGCATCTGATTAACATTGCATGATAGCTGGTGTTGTAGGCTGCTGTTTTGGTTTTTGTGGTGGTTTTTTTTTTACCTACTTTACAGTCTTAATGTAATACATTTTAAGAATTAAGGGCAGGCTTGGTGATACATCTCAGAAAGGTGTTATAAACAATGAATTTGTTCTAAGTGAGAGGATTTCTAATTAAGCCCCAGCACAGGCAATATTTTGTCAGTGAACTGGAGGTTAAAAAAGTTACCACTGTAAGATTTGCAGGTGAAGCAGAATGTGTCAGAGTGACAAATAGGTTGAGATGGGCTCAATGAGTCTTAGGCAAGAGAGCTGGAGTGAACCTTCAGAGGTCTTCTCATCAGGCCCTGAGATGGAGTAGCTATGCCCAAAACGATCGTGATGTATTTCAGTGTAGCCAAACTTCAAGAGTTTAGTCTGTGTAGTTTATTATAGGGGAGTCTCAAAGTTGACTTTGTGAACAGAAGACAGTGGATATTAAATCAATCACTGAAACCAGTTATTGAGTGAAATAATGAGATATCCATTTTTCAGGACTACTCATATCTTCTGAAATGTTATGTGCTAGTCAAGTGCAAGTGAACAGCTCAGTGTAGGGATAGGGAGGTGAATTTGTATGCCCAGGGTTCATCTGGATGTATTTGGATGTGATGCCATGTTTTCTTCTTGGTTTTCATGGCATGAGTCTCATCCAGACTTGGTTCTGTTGCAGTGGTGATTTGAATGATTCTTGTATTTCATCTTATCTCAGCTGTGTTTATAACATCCTTTAGCTATTTTGGAATGAAATGCACTCTGTTATTGCAGGATAGTGGTATTCATTTTCCATCTGTGACAATTTGATAGTGTAAATCCTGAGACACGTTGGTGGCTTGTTTCAGCTCACTCTGGCTATGATGAGTTATTTTGCACAGATCCCTGCTGGTGTTCCATACCAGCAAAAAGACTGTCTTAAAGTGAATGGATATACAAAAATGCAGTTGGATGTTAGAGCTGGACAGATATGCTCGTCGTTGAAGATAAAGGCATCTAGAGTTGAAGTTCTAAATACCCAGACTGTAGGTGTATGTTATCCTGAGACTCGATCCTGGAGGTGGAAGCTAGGGCCTCACCTGGATCTCCCTAGTAGTCTTTCTTCGTGACGGTGGCTTTCTTTATATCCATTTGCTTTTAATTTAATTTTAATTTTGTATTTGCTCTAGGATCAAGTGGATCACTTGCTGGCTCTGAAGATCAAAGCCTGCTCTCTGAACTCCAAGCTTTCTGCCCAGGAAAAGAAGACCATCCTGGCTGACTTAGCAAGTGAGAAGCCCCAAGTAAAGCTCCTGTACATCACCCCAGAGATGGCGGCCGCCTCTTCCTTCCAACCTACGCTGAACTCTCTGGTGTCCCGAAACCTCTTGTCCTACCTGATAATTGATGAAGCGCACTGCGTCTCCCAGTGGGGACATGATTTCCGACCTGACTACCTACGGCTGGGCACCCTGCGCACTCGCATACCCAATACACCATGTGTTGCCTTGACTGCCACTGCCACCAAGCAGGTCCAGGACGATATTGTGGCAGCGCTTAAGCTAAAGCAGCCGCTTTCCACATTTAAGACTCCTTGCTTCAGATCTAATTTGTTCTATGATGTGCAGTTCAAAGAGCTCTTGACTGATCCATACACCAACTTGAAGGATTTCTGTCTGAAGGCGCTTGAAGTGAAGAACACCACTGGGGTAGGTTTTACATTTGGGGAAGAAGGCTAAACTGAACAAAATCTACCTTTAATGGTCACCGGGCTTCCAGTGGTTGGTATGGCCCCAACAGGTCTGTGGCAGGGAAGGAGGAGGTCCCTGGAAGGAAAGTGCTCAAATATATTTTTTAGTTCCTCTGAAAGTGCTCACGTATGTTTTTTCAGTTCCTCTAAAATAGGTAGAATGTGAAGGCTGCGTTTCTTTCAGAGGTGTCCTCAGAAAGGGGTTCATCTAAAAGAAAATGTATTAGGAATATGCAACTAGCATTTCTGTCTTGGTTTGTCATGTCCCACGCAATCATTGTATGTTTGATGGCGTTCTGCTCTTCTAGTGTGGCGAGGGTGAACGGAAGCATTTGGAGTGTTGTATTAAATTTCCTGCTTTAACAGTAATTCCTAAAATAACTCTGAGCAACTCAGTTATAGCCTCTGCACCTGAATTTATCTCTAAGGCGGAGGGAGACTGCTTCTTGCCTTGTGCCCACTGGGAGAGGATTGGGGGACCGTATTTAGAATCATAGAATCATTAAGGTTGGAAGAGACCTCTAAGATCATCAAGTCCAACCGTCGACCCAACACCACCATGTCCACTAAACCATGTCCCTAAGCGCCTCATCTACATATCTTTTTAAATACTTCCAGGGATGGTGACTCAACCACTTCCCTGGGCAGCCTGTTCCAATGTTTAACCACTCTTTCAGTAAAGAAATTTTTCCTCACATCCAATCTAAACCTCCCCTGGAGCAACTTGAGGCCATTTGATCAATATTAGGCCTTGTAGGAGAAGAGATGTGCTTTAGGCATCCCTCCTGTCTCCACCATACTAATGACTGCAGCTTTGTTGATTGGCTTCAGACAGTGTCATGGACTTTCTCTCCTGTCTGCCCAGGCGTACTCCGGTTGTGGCATTGTGTACTGCAGGATGAGGGATGTGTGTGACCAGCTGGCTATTGAATTGAGCTACCGAGGAGTGAAAGCCAAGGCGTATCACGCAGGTATTGGAAGCTGCATCTGCATCTCTCAGTAGCTGGTAGAACTGAACTGTACCACCTTTAAGGCCTGGGTTGGGGCTACCTAGAAAATAGCTTTCTAGGCATGGTCTGCAATGTGTCTGATGCTCACGCATCAGGTCTGTGAAGTAAGTGCAGGGCCTTCAACAGAATGGCATTCCCTTCACTCCAGAACTGTTGGTTTTGTTGGATCTTCCATGGCCTAAATATAACAACTGCTTTTATCCCAGAAGGGATCTGAATTTTTCTGTTTGGAATAGAAACAGCTGCTGCTGCTGCTTTCTGCTTGAGCGCAGGCCAGTTTAAACATGGGCAGAGAGGAGTGTGTACATCAGTCTGGTTTAGTGAGGGGGTTGGCTTGCAATGGAGGAATGGAGGAGGAAGAAAATCCTCTTTTTTCTTTTCTTTTGTTGATGTTCTTGTTTTTTCCTTTCTTTCCCTTCCCAGGACTCAAGGCAGCTGATAGGACTTCAATCCAGAATGAATGGATGGAGGAGAAGATCCCAGTTATTGTTGCAACCATCAGTTTTGGAATGGGAGTAGACAAAGCAAACGTCAGGTGTGTGAGGCTGTGTTGTGTGCCACCAGAGCCTGAAACTTGAGCAGTGGGAAGGGAAAGTCTCAGTCTCTCTGTTAACTGATACATCTGGTTAAAACGCCTGATGAACACTTGCTAAACCCCACAAAAGCAGAGCTGGAGGTTTTTCTATCTTAGAAGCAGAAAAAGTAAACCTGGAAGGGTTTTGTCAAGAAATTAAAAACAAGGCACCAGAGCTCCTCTTTGCCAGTCATCTTCAAAACCAAGAAAATTGGAGGAATGTTTGTTTTCTGCCACGCCCTCCAGGGTTTCAAAAAGAGCCATCTTGATGCAATCACAGCTGTCCCTTTCACTTCTCTTAGTGCAATAGTTGCTGTTAAAAAGCAGTGGGAAGAAAATCTGCACCTAAAATAATTCATACACCCTCTACTAAAATAGAGCCAGCTTTTTTTAGAGATCTCCTTTTGCAATGCAATGGGGAAAAAATAGCAGTTCACAAATGGCAATAACCATATAAAAAATACATTCCTAGTCCAAGGACAGAAATTCTGCACGTTTTCAATTGCTGTTCCTCTGGGACTTCTAACTGTCACCATAATTGCTCTGTGTTGTTAGAAGTCCTGCACGGCAATATAGCTATGCTGAGTTAGTATTGTGAGCTGTGATCACTTAGTAGAGGGATAACTCGGGTGCAGCTCACACGCCACCTCACACAGACCTAATCTTTACTCTAAAATCCACATAAAGCAATTGCTCTGAACACTGGGAGAGGGGCATGACATCACTGAGACAATTACATCAGTTCACAACTGTACCATCCTTCTCTCTGTGTCACTGTGCTGACAGATAACAGGATCCCATAGCAATGACAGACTATTTTACTGCTTGATGCACGTTACCCAGCAGAGAAATAAGTCTCCTAGGATAACAGCATGAATTAATGACCTGCTGAAACCACTCTGCACTGTTCGGTACAGTGGTCATTAAAAAAGGCAAAGGGTAACTGAAATGCATAGGGCTGATTGAGAGTGAAATATAGCTGAAACATGCTTGTAATCTGGTTAGTTTCCAAGGAATGGGGTTAAAATGACTCTTTACAGGATGTTTTTTAATAGTTTAAAGGACATTATAATCAAGCCTAGGCAACAAGGCACTGCTGCTTAGCCTTTGCTGTATGTTGGCAGAGTTCTGAGTATTCATGCATATACTATCAAGTAAGATCAGGTCTGACAAGTTCTGGAGGTGACTCTTCTGGACAAAAAGGAAAACAGAGGTCGTCTCTTTTTCTGATGGAATCTGCTTCTTCCTCTTCACTGCTAATTCAGTATTGCTTGAGATTATTTAGCAATTCCTTCAGTAAACTTCCTGATGGGGTATAAATGTGTAGGGCTCTGATACTTCCTGCCTGGCCTGTTCCTGGAGTGTTTGTGTTTGAAGAAACATGTTTGCTTGCCTTTGTCATTTAATCTTTTGCCACACCCATATGCATCATACCTGCCTCTGGGACATGCTGGTTTTGAGGCAGACTGGTATTTAAAACATTGGCAGCATTACTGTACTGTAAAATTTTCTCAACTCAGGTATAAGCTGAATTGCTGAATATTCGGGTACAAGCAGGTTTAAAGCAGTCTTGCAGCGGTGTGTTGAAAACCTTCCTTCAGAGATTACATACAGTTTAGTAATGATTCATAGTCATACTTGCTGGCTGGGAAGGGTGCCCTCATCCACAGGTGAGCTTGGTGAGACAGAATTTCCCATGCAGACTTTGTTGGCAAAGAAGTGTCTTTTTAAAATCGAGTATTTCAAATTGTGTTCTGTAATGTTCAAATTGTGTTCCACAAAATAAATAGGACTTCTTAATTAATGCTCTATTTTATGGTAAAATCTCCCAAACTCCTTAAATCAATGTCCTTGTTCTGACTCTTCATAGCTGTACAATTGTATGCACGTTTGGGATATTCATGTGCCCATTCAGTTCCATCCATTTGGGGTGACATCCTGCTCACATGTTCAGATGCATTTGTTTTCTTACAGCTCTGCTGCTGTCCTTGTGTCTTGTGTTAAGAGGACTTAAACTTCTCTGTGCAAAATCCCTTGCTCTGCTAAGTCCTCTGTCTTTTATGCTTTTGCTGCCCTATTTTTTTACTGTTGATGATGTCCACAAACGACACAATCATGTATGCAGTGATCTGAGAAGCCTGCAGCCTTATGTTTCCTGTTGTCTTATCACATGCAGATTTGTCGCCCATTGGAATATTGCTAAGTCAATGGCTGGATATTACCAAGAGTCTGGCAGAGCTGGGAGAGATGGGAAGCCATCCTGCTGCCGCCTCTATTACTCGAGGAATGACCGGGATCAAGTCAGCTTCCTGATTAAGAAGGAGCTCTCTAACATCCAGGTAAGATCTGCAGAATAGTATCCACCTGCCTAGATATGCTGCCTTTGCTCTGATCTGGTTTGCCTCTTGCCTGCAGTGACCTCTGAATATGCAAAGATGAAATGAGTTTTTCTGGGTCTAGAGCTGTCTGTGGCCCTGTTTCAAGGGATGGAAGAAGGGAGTGAAGCAGGAAGGGAAAGGGCTGCCAGACCCAGCTCCAGCTCTATTAGAGAGGCACGGGTGAGCAGAAGTGTGCAGTAGAGACAGGGCGGTGTCTGTACCTGTTTGCCATATTGATCAGAAGGGTTGGATTTGGTCATTGCTAGAGTTACTTTATCTGTTTATATTTAAATTGAAGACTATTGTTATTGTCCCCGTCTACTTTCAGGAAAAAAAAGGCACCTTAAAAGAATCTGACAAAGCTGTGATGACAGCTTTTGATGCCATTGTGAACTTCTGCGAAGAGCTGGGGTGAGTGCGCTTCTTTCAAACACTGTTTAATGTTGGGGAAACCATGCCCTACCCCTCCCGAGGCACTGTTACGGCTGAGATCTTGCATGTCTAGGAAAAAGAAAATACTGAATGAATCGCCTGATATTTTGCTGTCTGGACTGAGGAAGGTGTCCCTGAGACATCTCTCACCCACTCCCACCTCTGAGTTAACTGAGATGTTGGCCTTGGAGCCTGACCAAGTGACATGGTGATGTTAAACTATAACTCCTCTGGCTATGAGTTTTACTATGTTCTATCTTTGATGATGGGTTGACTTAGTGCATTTGCTTTTGTTTGGACTCTTTCCTCCTTCACTACATCATCTCTCTTCTAAGGGGACAAACAGATAGCCTCATCGGCATGGGATGGAAGCATTTAGATTTAATGTTTCCCTAAATCTCAGGGGCCTCACTCTGCAAAGTACTAGGTATCCATGATTCTCGGTGACCTTAGAAGGAGCTGATGGTGCTTAGAATGTTTCAGAAACAGGTCCAAATGATGGATGTGCCCAATCTAAATGCAGACTAGCAACCACAACGTGCATTGTTCAGGTTTAGTTCATGACTTGTAAGCTGTAATTGTACTAATTGCTATTCTATGCTGGATAAGACATCAAAGCTATAATTTTGCCAGTAAGAGAGCAGTATGTGTTCACTAACTGAAAACGGTCAACGTGTCTTGCTTTCAAGTCTGCATTTTGTTTCATTTTTCACACCTGTGTCTAGGGCAACTTTTTTAGTGTGAACATAACACATGCTTCTTTTCTGATGCCTTGGTGAGCGTGTTCTCTCCTTGTGGTCACGTTTGGTAAACAAATCCTGTTTTTATGGGGTTGCTCTGGGAAAGTCTTGCTTGTACTGAAGCACGGCACAACACTGAGTCCTGGGACACTTGAAGGAGCACTTCTTTGCCCAAAGTCAAGGTAATTCTGGGAAGTAGCTGCTAGGAGGCTTCTTGCTATAAGAGTTTGATCCACTTACTTGGCTAAGCAGCTGCGCTTCTTCTGGTGCGTGTTACCAGCTCACAGCAAGAGTGGCCAGATGGCTGTTTGTGTCTGGGTTTTGTATAATCTGAGAGGCAGCTGTCTATCTGGTTAGACGCTAACCTCAGGAAACCTTGTCTTGGTATCTATTTCTCCTTGATTCCTAAGCTGGTTATCAGTAGAGTTAGTCGTGACAGTCGCTTCTTGGAATGGACACTAGTGCCATAAGAACTGGGCTGGGATCTCTGAACTAACCTTGCCCAAGCCAGAAGGGGTCACAGAACATTCCAGGGTGGTGTCCCAGTGAGGGCATGAGTTAGGCTCCATGTAACCATCTTACAGCATCTCCCACTTCATGCATGGTGTAAAGAGCCTGACTGCTATCTGAAGTGAGGATCTCCTCTAGAGTTGCACTGCAGCAGTGAAGCAATAACTGAACAAGGACAGAGAGAAAACATTCTCCTTTGCTCAGATGAATAGTAATGGAAATAGGATTTCACTGGGTACATAAGAGATTTCTGTAAGGGAATATCACTGACTTAATTAGAAATCACGTCTCCCATACTTTTTCTTCCCTCCCCCAGCTTGGTACATTCTTCCTACTGTATACCATGCCATATGCATCCCAGAGTCGCATACTGCGGCACCACTGACTGACTTTCCTACTCATAACTGTACAGGAGACTAAGATGCTATGTAAAGGAATGCCACGTTGCATTTCTTTTTTACATTTTGAATTAATACAGTTCTACTCACTGTCCAAACAGTGAAAGCAAACCTGAAACTCTGACCTTGCAAGGTTCTAAATAAGAACAAATAAAGACAGACTTGTATACTGGCAAGCAAGTTTTTGCATAGTATATTTAGGCTATTGTCCAAGTATGACAGGAGAACAATGGTATAAGCTGCTTTTAGAGAGTGGGTTTAGACACAGCTTTTGCTGGTCAGAGTTTCCTGTTGCCCATTTGCAAGATGGGGAAAAAAAAAACACAACCATGTAACTGCAGCAGCAGAAGACATCTTTATCAGTTTTAGGTGGTGGCTGACCATTTGCCACCTCTAACCGGTGGTTTTGCTTGAAAGATGAAAATCAGGCAGAGATAAGTTGACTTTGGTATTTGGCTAGTCATGCAGTTCCTGAATACAGATAGCCTTATGTATTGAGTTTGCTGTGGACTTGCAGAACAACTTGCTGGCATTGCTCTTGATGCAGGAAAGTTGCATGGGGAGAAATAACCACCCAGGGAGAGATGAGAAAGCTTTCTATGAACAACACAATCAGGTTGTAGCTGGGCTGATTCTTGCTTAGCTGCAGGGCTCCAAGTACTGCGTCTCAGCTTCGCTGTTTATGTACCACTCTGCTTGTGCCTTGGAGATGAGCAGCACCCAAAGATGGCAGCGAATAAGAGGAGAGCAACAAAAACTAGACAGAAGGTGACAATCACCACTAGCCCTCCAAGAGCCCAGTCACTTGTTACGATCAGTGTCTTTAGGTCTTCCAGAACTGAGGATGCCTCTTGTACTGATGACATGCTGGCTTCCACCCTGCTGGAGGTAGACAAGAACAATATCAGATGTTGGTGTATCCCCTCTATGCTCTGAGCCACAGTCCCAAAACCAGTATAGGCATGCATGCTGTCTGTGCCTGCAGGCATCCCTCTTCCAAAAGGGGGAGTCACCCGTCACAGAAATGGGAGCATAAACCAGAAGAAAGATAGCTGAGGCCAGTTTCACAATCAGATCTACACAAATGTAAAGAGAAAAGCTTCTGGCTTTAGAAGATTTTGGCAGTTGAGATTTTTTTTAATCATAGTTTATCAATATTTTTAATAATATAATATAGTCTCTCCCAGAATGTTCGGTATGAACCCTTCATCTCTGTCAACTGTACAGCCTATACATGAAAGACAAGTATTCAGTGGGAGAACTTGCTTGATACCATTGGAAAGATCTCTAAAAAGGAGTTGGGCACTTAAACTCTGAGAACACACTGGAGATTAAATGAACACTTATTCAAAAACAAACAAAAAACCCCACCAACAATAAGCAAAGATCTTCATGTACAACTTGTTGCTCCCATAGGGCTTAGAATAGTCTAGTTATGTAAAAAAGGTCTCCTGTTAACAGAGTTTGCTTTAGTAATGCTTTCTGTTACTCTGCAATGGAAGCATAAGTTTTCCTCCTGTGAAGTACTTAAGTCCAGCAATAATTTAAACTGGGATCTCAGTGGGTTCTACACACTTGGTCTTTCACTGATACTTTGCATAATGACTTGGCTATCAGCTTTCTAAAGAACATCCAGTATCTTTTTGCAAGCATCTTGTGGTTTTAGTAAAGCTTCCTTGCTTCTCAAGGGAAAGGATGGATTATATCTCACACTTTCTCTCAAATATGACTGTGCAGACATAAAACAGGAAGAGATCTCCGTTATTTTTGAAAATTTGTTTGAATTGCTGCCCTTTATGTCTGTATCCTTAATATTGTAAGGAAGAGGATTAGTGATGTAAAGCCTGTTTCATCCCCAGCAAGTCACATTTGACTGGGAGCACAAGCTCACACTTCAGTTTGCTGAAGTTCTTGTTTCTTTCTCAGCAGCCAGATATATTCAGTTCATGCTTTGCTCTTTGGAATGATGGCAGATCACCATGCCCAGTCTCTAACCAACAGGCCTACAAGACATGAAAGCCATTCTGGATAGCTTCCTTCACCTTTAAAAAAAGGAGGCAGCCTAGATACTAGTTCTGTAGACCCAAAGGCAGAAACCCTGTGTGACCATACACCCTAGAAAGTTCCTGTCTCTTTTGCTAACCACAGTTAGTCTCCTGAAATAGGAGAGCAGTATGCAATTTTATAAATACCTGAAGCCGTTGTGTTTGTAGTAGGTGTTTCTTCCGGTGCGTCCTCTGCACCCCCTCCAAGAGATCTCAGCCTGTGGTGAGGGACCCCCTTACTGTACCTGAAGACTTGTAGAGCTAGTATGGAAGTTGCCTGTTTGTACTGCAGTAAATAATTAACAGCTGACTTTCCTGCAAAGGTGTGGCTAATCTAATCAAAGGCCTTGAGCCTAGTTAAACAGACCTAGTTCAGCTGTCGCTCAGACACTTTTTCCCCTCCATGGCTTTATCCACTCATGCACCTGTTCTAGTGCTTGTAAAGGCCCACTATGTCCTCTGACTGGGGAAGGCTGCAGGTTGTGGTGGAGAGAAGAGGGCTTTGTTTCCTGGATCTGTATTGTAAGCTCCATTAGGAGACTGCCATATCTAAAATGAGACTGTAAACAAGACTGCCCTCCAGTCCAAACTTCATTGTGACAGTTTAGGTGGATAAACTCATTAAAGAGCCTTGTACTGCTCTTAGCTGCAATAAAACTGTCTCCCTGTTGCTTTCCTAACTGAAGAAGACCAGAGGGATGGTGCTAGAGAGAGGGGAGAAGGAGGAGAGTGTGGTTTGTGAGACTGTGTGTGTGTAAAAGGAAACTTGTTTTTCACAAGCCAAGCAAATCACTTTGAAACCAGAGGGATGATGTTACAGAACAGAAGCTATTCCATTAAGTCATCAGTAGAACTTCAACCACTTCTGCTGGAGAGGCTGGCCTCACAGTCTCTTTTAGGTTCCTCAGGGAAAGAAACTATTTCAACGCTTGTATCATCAGGACTGAAGTAACTGTATTCCCTTGCAGTTCCTTCTAGGCTCGCTCAGGCTTTCACAATGTACAGAAGTTGCTGTGTTTGAAGCAGTCTCGCCTTAGTCTGTGGTCTTCTGAATCTCCCTCTGCTTTTTGAAACAGAGAGGATCCATCCTCACTAGGGCTTAGGGCGTTCCAGGTCCCTTTATGTGGGTAATGACTGAAGCCAAACCCACAAAAGCTTGTGTGAGTGGTGAGCAGGGACCCAGAGACTGGCATGTTTCTAGTCAACAGAAACTGAAGAGCTGCAGTAAGCTGGGATTTGGTGGGCATCTTTCAGGCCAACCTGATCTGTTGCATGCAAGAAGGTGGCAGACCCCACCCAGTGCAGGCAAGCAATTGGCATATCTAAATACCAAGTATAGGAGTAGTCCAGCTGAGTACAATGGTACAAAATGGTACAAAGCAGAACATTAGGCCTGTGATGTCCAGGCAAGTATATAGAAATCAGTCCAGGGACCCCTCCTCTATGTGGTGGCTGCTCCTCTGCTCCAGAAAGCCACCTGAATTCTTTAGAGAATTGCTTGGTTTTCTCTCCTCTTTTTTTAAACAGCGCTGTGTTTATTCTTTGTTTCTAATTCAGGAACTTACAGTGGCAGAGATAAGACAGGAGCCATTTCTCTTGTCCCTCTGGCTGGTATCTGTCAGTGGTTTAACTTATTACACCATTGGGAAACATGCATTTGTAGCTTTTCCTGTTAAGATAAGGCCTGGCAGCTTATTCCTGATGACAGCAACCTGTCAGTCATTGGTATGTTTCCAGCCTGCTGGGCTTCCTCCTGACTGTTAGCACAGACTGGTTCCATGCTGCTGAAACATTTCTCAATGGGATTCTGTTAATTCCTGTAGCTGGCACTGTCTAGCACAGGCTAGGAAAGAAAGTAAGCTCTGTTCTTTCACAGGTCTCGTGACCTAACTTAGATACAGAAACGTCTGTTGAGTCTGTCCCCTGCAAAAGAGGTTCTGAGACTTCCAATGTCACCTTGATTGTCACTTGTTTGTAAGTGAAATGAGCAAAGACGTATTTGACAGAGAGGTTAGTGTGATGCATCTCTGAATGTTGATTAGAGTAAATTGATGCCACACTTGAGCTTATCCTACCCTAACATATTGGTTGGGAGTGAAAGCTTTGGGACAGCATAATAAAGGCCAGCGCTTTGTTAGTCTTAGTGTAACTGTGCAGGCAGTACCTGATACTAGTGCAGTCTTCTGTTGGCAGTTGTCAAGCTGGGGCTCAAATATTTACTTTCTAAGGAACATCCTCATCATCTTCTGCAAAGTTTTTATTAATTTAAAAGTAACATTGGTAGTTTGAGGATTTTTTTTTCTTAATTTTTAGACTATTCTCTGTGTCACTGGCCGCAGATATATTCCGATGTGCAGCAGTACAAAAATGCAAAATACCTAAATCTAGTTTCTTTGCAAAAATTAAAGTGCATTAAACACATGAGAAGCTACTGATGTAATGTGTTTTTTACTAGTTTGGGTGCAGGCATCAGAGAAAAGAGGTTGCTTTACAAAGTTTTATTTTTTTTGGCCTTTCTGAAGAATATTTAAAAGCCCGCTGTTATAAACTTGACAATTCTTTTCTCTCTAGCTAGATGTTGGCTCTGGTATATACATGTGTAATCCCTTTGACTCCTCTACACTTAGCAGTCGGAATACCAGGGTAGAAGATGACTTACCTATACGCATGTAACTTTTTCTACCTTCTCATAAAGGTGGTTGGTTTCACATTTGGGGCTGAAAGACAGACCAGTGGCTTACAGTGTTAGGTGCAGTATGATGGTCTTCCGTTTGGCTGTCCCAGTTATGAAAGTCATGGCCTGCGCCATAGCCTTGTACTTACATAAATCCCTTTCTGAAGTTCACCAAAGTGTAAACCAAACATACATAGTGGCTGCAGCATGGAAAAGGGATTTATTTGCACTTGTTAACTTCAGCCGTACAGCCCATTCTTGGCTCTGCTTTGTTACAATGCCTGCTGTCAGCTGCTGCATGTATACCCTGAAGTGATGGTTACCACACTGTGTCAGTCCTCTGAAATGCCTTTGTGTATGCTAATAATCATACCTTAGGCATAATGTTTATGTCCACTAAGCTGCACACAGCGCAGGGAGTCAGGCACGCAGGTCCCTCAAGTAAGGATAGGGACTTGTTCATCTCCTGTAACTCCCACGCTCTGTAAGGACCATTCACCTGCGATAAGCAGAAGAGCCGAACCACACAGGGGGTGGGGAGGGAGCATGTTTACCAGCAGAATGATCAAATTAAGCCGTAGCATTGGTGAGTTTTTCCCTTTTGCCTTCATCTTTCTGTTTACAAAGGGTATTGCACATGATCTGATTTTTCTCTTTGGCAATTTCACATCATTCTAACACCGATGAAATAAAGCAGGGATCATTTGTCACCAGCTGTACTCAGAGCCTCAGCTGGCATGTCTGGATCAGAAGATCCACGATTTATTTTCAGGAGACATCTCAGCTAAACGTGCCTGTCGCAGGTGGCTTTTAAGAGCGCAGGTTTGGACTTGATCCAAGATGTACTGGGCATGTGGACCTCCCAGTGATGTCAGTGGATTTTGCTAGCGCCCAGCATCATCCTTCTGGATTAACCACTTGTGAAGAGAGTGGGTGCTGCCTAGCATGTGGCAGTGTACGTGTTCTCTGCTTTGGTCTGTGACTCCATGCTCACAAAGGGAATCCTTGGCTGGCCCAGCTGCAGGGCTGTCATTGGGAAAGCGTGTCTGTTTTCTCAGCAGCATGTGTCCGTGTACCCCCACCCCAGAAGAAACAGTGATGGTAAAGTAGCATTACCTTTCTGGTCACGCCACGGAGCCCAGCCGTGGCTGTCACAGAAGGAAGGAATTCCATGCTGTGATTTCTGCTCCTCTGAGTCATATTAATTAATATTGTTATTGCCATTTTCAGTGAGCTAGTGTAGAAAGTCATTCCCATAGAACTGAATCATGATGTTCATGCATGTCCTTGGTAGTAGGTTGTGTCACCTCTTGTTGCACTTCACGAATGGGCGATTGGGCGGACTTGGATCTTCCTACGTCTGTGGTCAGGACGTCCGTCGCAGCTACAGCAGCTATAGCAGCAGCAACTGCAGGCAATGATCATGAGCAGAAGAACAGTAACTGGAAAGAGAAGCAAAGGATATTGCTTCGTGATGTAGGAGCAATCACTGGAGAGTAACCCTATGTCTCCTCCAAGTTGTTTGGTGAGCAGCAGAATGAACAAAGCCTGGTTTCTTGTCGATTGTTGGGGTTTTTTTCCCCCCCCTATATCCCCACCTCCCTCCTCCTAAGTTCCTGCTCCCTTGTATTAGTTATCTATATGAATCTGGACAATCACTACCGGGTATTTCATGATCTTAAGAGCTATGTACCAAACCTTGTGGGGTCATATCTTTGCCTGCCTAATGGGCTGTTTTTTTCGGAGATGACATGCAGCAACTAAGTAGAGCTGTGTGCCTGGAAAGGATGGAGATCCAGCTCTCCCCGTAGTTCTGTCAGAAGCAACTCGAGAGAACTTGGTTAGTCAAACTGGCAGTTGCATGTCTGAAGAGTGCATGCAGTGTACCCTTTAATGAGGATAGATATTCATGACTGGGTTGGCTTTATTCTTTCTTCTGTATTTAGCTTGAGAAAATAGATACTTCAAACACAGGATTTTGTTTCGCAAAGCAATAGGCTAACTTATTGCTATTCTACACTGGACGTAATGGTTGGTATTGGGAGGGATATGTTAGTTTATCTGGAATAGAAAAGGATGACATGCTTAATCCTGCAAAACACATAAGAGTGTGTGAACGTGCACGTGTGTGTGCATGTGTTCCTTAAAAATCTGGAGCTGGGCTGCCAGGTTACTGGACCTGTGGGGAACCAGCTGTAGGTATGAAAAAAATAAAGCAGCAGGTGTGTTTTTCTGAATTCCAGCCCAGGGAGGAGTGTCCAGGCTGGATACACACCCTTCCTTTTGGCTGGGAGCAAAGTGTACCTCTCTGAGGGGGAGGGCCTGCCTTCCTTCCTGCTTGTTTTCCTAGTGTCTAAACAAACTTCATCCCCCTTGATCAAGCAGCTTTTTGTTATTCCTTCCATGCCATCCCCACACAGAGCAGCAGGAGGGATTTTGCTGTTACCAGAGGAGAATAAATAGGCTCCTCTGAAGCATACTGGCTTCCGCTGAACTAAGCACAGGAATGACACTCAGAGTCTCAGACTTTAAGTGTCTTCCGCGGCAGTGAGATGCCCTAATACCATTTGTCATAAACTATCTCCTATGCATCAAAACATTGCAGCAGCTCTGGATTAGTTATAATATTGCTGTTTAAACTAATGCTTAAATGTGAGAGCTTTGGGGAAAGCTATACTGTTGCCTATCGTGCTCTGCATGCGTGTAGAGATACACATTGAGTATTAAAAAAATTACCTAGAAATTAAACTGGGCCTCAGAGCACAGCCTGAAAAACAACTGCCAACAGCACTAACCCACCAACAAAGACTGTGGAGCAAGCTGCCCCCATAGAAGAGACATTCTGATACCCCTTTGCCTCCACCGATAAACTCACCAATAAACAGAAGAACCACACAAAAGGACACAATCTCCACCGGCTCAGCCTTGGGCAGTTTCTGGAGCTTAAGGAGAAACTTCTCACCAATGGTTTGCATTTCCTTCAGAAAGCCTTCAGAAGACATTCTGGCTCAACCTCTCCAGGCTTTATGCTGTAGAAGAACCAAATAGAGAATAAACCTTTTCACTGACTAATGCTAGGAAGCTGCCAGCCTTCTTATAAAGCTGGTGATCACAAGGAAAACAAGTTTATCTGGTCTCAGTCCTCGTTCCCAGTAGCTAAGGTGGAGGACTATTAATTGTCTACGTGTTCTGGCACTGTTTTAATTTCAAAATCTGGCTTTGAGGGTGCTTTTGTCAGCTGCACTGTTAAAGAGAGGTGAAACGGTGTTTCTTCTGAAAGGACACTTATTTCAGCAGGCATAGAGTTAGAACTGGACAGTGTCTGCCCTTGGCTTTCACCTAGTGAAAGCAATTATTTTTTTTCCAGTTGTGCTAATTTGTCCTTCCAGAAAGAAATGCAGTTCTAACTCGATTTGAATTCCAAATGCTGAACTCCAGTGGAACATAGTTTTCAGGGTTTTTTTACTGAGTAACACAAAGTAGACCCCTTTGAAGACTTCCTGCACTTTCAGCTACAGAAAGCCCCTTCAAAAACTAAGGCACTTACTTCAACACCTCACTACAATACCATTAATAATGTTTTATCAACCAGTTTTACTGAATGATGATATTAAGAGCTAAAGTCTGTGTTCACTGGGGACAGCTGGACACTTTTTGAGTTCTTACAGATGACTGCGAGTTTTATATGGTAAGCTAAATGTAGCTTTTTTTCTTTTAAGCTACAGTCTGTTCTAATGGAGCAATATATGAATCAAACAGTGGATGTCCACCCATCGCTGCTGGTGATAAGCAAAGCAAAAGCTCCTGGATCTCTCGGGGAGATACCTTCCTTGTGGAGCTAATCCCTCCTGCCCTGCTCAGTAATCTTACACCTTCTTTATTCTCAGAAAGAATGATCCCCAGGAACTGTTGTTACTGAAAATATTATTAGTTTAGTCAAAGTTAGGTGCCTCAGTTTTGCCACCAATATTTGCTGTTCTCTTTCCCCGTGAGCAAAATTTTGGAAGGCATTGCAACAAACAAGCTTGCATGAGAGCTATGGAAGTTCAAATTTTGCTTCAGTCAGTAACTGGAATAGGATATTGTTGAGAAATATCCATAGTTTTGCCTAAAACAAGTGTTTGGACAGGTCAACACTTGGATGGATTATAACTCCTACGTCATTGTTATATCAGAATATACTAGCTTGCGTGTATTGTAATAGTCAACACTGTTTTATGGGACTTGAACGTTGCAATTTAACATCCGAGTCTTGGTGATAACACCAAGCCAAGTGACCAAGACAGTACTTCCAGAATAAGCCAGCTAGTTAATTACTGCACATCTGGTTTGGTTACTCAAACAAATGGATGCTTGGAGTTCAGTTTTTCTAAACACACTGAGGACGGAGAGACCTTGGCTGTTTCTTTGCATGCTGGGCTTAAATACTACAGTGCCAAGTTAAATTACATTTTGTATGTTTATGCAATTCAAAAAGGGTTTTCTTTGTTCTTTTAAATCCAAGCTAAGGAATAAAAATCGGAACCAGCTGGTTTCCTAGGGATGGGTGTGGATGAAAAAACTACATCTACAGAAAGATCTCTGTGCAACTTAGCAGGGAGGCATAGCTGTGGCCTTTTGACCTGAAAAGGTCACTTTTGAGACTAGGGTTAAATAGTTCTTTCCGGATGATTGCTGTACCCCAAGTGAGCTGCTCCAGAAATGGCAGCTTTATCCTTTGCACACTGCTGTGGGATTCTGTGTCAGCAGGTTTCCAGTTTTGTTTCCATTCCAAGAGATGGCGGTGCAGGCAGAGGTGAAGTGATGTGTGTTTTCTGCTCCTGGCTCTAGAAGAAAAACTTCTTGAAAAAAAGTAAGTATTTCTGGCTCTAACATTCTGAAAATGTTTGTTCCCTTTGGGGGTGTTTCTGCCTGCCCAGAAGCTGTCCTAGTAAGGAATCTGCTGTAACCTTTTGTACTATGCTTTGGGCTGCGCCAGAAGCAGCAAGTATAAGAGCTAGGCTTCTGAAGTTTGGGTATACAGTGTAAAATTACCGATTAGGATTGTAGAACTCCACGTGGATTAGCAAAGTGCCTAGCCTAAAATGATAAGAGCTTGTCATCTCAGTAATGGGCATTCCTCTGCCCCATGGTACCTGATCTGGAGCTACGTAAAGGAGTTTTTATTCTAAAACTTGCAAGGAATGTTGCTTGTTTACCTTGGTTTGAACTTCTTCAGGGACAAAGTTTGATGTTGGTGGTGCGGTCGCCAACCTACCTATGAGGAAGCGAATGTTTTTCTGCTTGACTGCACTTCTGACTGCACACTGGTTCTAAGGGCTCTTGCTGCTTTGGGATTTCTGCTTGTGGAGCGTAACAAAAGGGTGAAGAATAAATCACTTCTTTTTTTTTAAAAAAAAAAAAAAAGGAAAAAAAAGAAAGAAAGTAAAACTCCCCAAGAAAGCTAGTTGTATTCATGGACTTTTGTATCTTCCATTCTACTTGTGATATAAAGTCTTTGGTCAGGACTAGTTTTGATTGTGATCTTTTTCCAATTGATTTCAGCAGAACCAAGATCTTACCCTAGAGATTAGCATAAGGGTAAGGCTAGTGCTGTGTGACTTAAACAAGTTGTCTTATGCATCTGCCTTATCTTCCTCTTGTACAACACAACAGTGATGACATTACTTACAAATTTCAGAGTGGAGCCGTAAGAATTAATTCTTTTTTTTTTTATTATACTGTGTTCAAGTAAGCTTCCAGTCACCAACAGTCGTAAAGGCCAGGTGGTGCAGGGTATTTGGTTGAAGCAGTAACTGTAATGATTATTATTAAATAATATTATTATTATTATTATTATTAAAACAGGCAAGTCCTGAAACTTAAGGTTGTAGGTCTTAACTGACAGTTTACTTTCTAAGACTGGAGTGCTGTTCTAGAGCCTAGAACAGCCACCCAAGTTGGTACCTCACAGATTCTGTGGGGTTTGGAGCAAACATAATTGTCTGCCAGTGTTTTTCTCAATTGGGAATTTCTCCTTGCTCATTGTCCTTCCTCAAAACCACATCCACTGAGGATGGGAACCCTCCAGAGCAGAGGAGACAGGGCTGTCAGGGCAGCAAAGCTGATGGAACTCCTTACGGAAGAAATGCTGGACCACACTGCAACATAGTCTTCATAACGCATTGTCAGACTAATGTCATGAACTTTTGCTCCATAGCTGTAGCTAGAGGTCATATGAAGTGAAAATAGGGTGAAGAGAGGCAAGATGAGAAACTCTCATAGAAAAGAAAGTGAACACAATGCTGATGTCTTGTGACAGGCAGTTTGGAAGTTCCTGCTGGGGAGGGGTGGCAGCCTGAAATTTGTGGTTCCAGCTGTTTCCTCTTCTGGCTGTTTTTAAAAAATAACTGATCTATCCAGTGTTGCCAGGGGGACTAGATCATCAAATATTTCTGCCCTCTTCTATGTTACAAGGCCTGGCAGGGGCGGGAATAAAACAAATCTTTTAATTTGGGTTTATTTGTTTTTGAGGAAAAAAAGGCCAAATCTGCCTTGTGCTAGGAGTTGTTAGCCTTCGTTGGAAAGAGAGAGCACAGTAGTAATGCAGGGGGATGCCTAACTGCAGGTGTGCTGCTCAGCTGTAAGGATTAGATGATCCTTTAAAACCAAAGAAGCATGTCCTATGTTTAGGGCTTCTGTAGAGTTAGATTCCCAGAAAGTGCTAATACTTGTTTTTAATGCAGATTCATCTTGCTGTGCCCACTGAATAAAGCTGTGAAAATTGCTATAATAGCACTGACATTATCTTTCTTAACTGTTTTAATGGATTTATGCCATACTGAAGCACTCAAAGAAGTTGGCTGCTCAGCCCTTTTGGGAATAAAGCCATTAAGAGGCCTCAATCTAGACATTCAAGAGAAGAGCCTTGGTCAGGGTTTCTTTGTACTGTGAACTGGCTGTGTGTGGTAGCTTCCAGGCTTCAAGCAAGAAAAAGAGCTTTGGGATGACCATGTAAGGTGGGGTCCCACATCCCTCTGCCTTAAGCTAGTCAAGTTGCTGTAAGTATTTTGGAATTGATGTAGATTGATCTGGTTTTTTTGGTCTGTCTTTGGTTTGGAAAGCTGTATCCTATCTGTGAACCTACACAGGTGCATCAGGAGTTGAACTGTAGAGAGTGGGTGAGCTGAAACTTGCTGCTGAGGAATGAGATACTTGTTTAGTCATAACCCTGGTGGCATTTGAGCAGCCTATTTCAGTGCAAAGAACATGAATTTGAGTTTGTGGTTTAGCCCCAGGACTGGAAGTTAGTAAATGCAGGCAGTCTTCCTGGCCTGCCAGTGATGCTTAACTAGCTAATGGATAAGTCATCCCATCCCTCTGTTGGGTGACTTCATCCCTGCAAAGCGGCAGAACATGTAACCACCATTTGTTTTCTAATTGTTGTGTGTCCAGGTCTCTAACATGCTCTGAAATCTTTACATAGAAAGACAGTAAGTCCCTGGTTTTGTTGCAGTTACAAAATGAAATGGCCTTTGCTTGCTAACTGCTTGTTACGCTTCAGGCACTGAGCCCGTTTAGGATGAAAGTAGATGAAAGCATGGCTTCTACTCTTCATTGCTCCTTGCCCAGTCATGCTTCACAGGGCTTATTTCTCTTGACATGGCCTCCCAATCCATTGGTTTTACTGTGCTCCCTCCAAGAATCTTTGCTTGCATGGGTTTGTTGCTACAGTAATCTAAAAATGGAGACGAAGCTTTGGAGGGGGGAATCTGTTGGTGGTGCCCTGAAGCTGTCAATGCCCCTAGTCCTAATGCAGCAAGTCCCAGCGGTGAGTTCGATAACCTCTGCTGTGCCCATTGCCCTTAGCAGCAGTGCTCCAGAGACCTTACAAAGTAGGACCTCCCTGATGTGCCCGAGCAAGCAGAATGCCAGGGCAACATTCTCATTGCAACATTGCCTTTTTTCCAAGACTGTGGCTGTGGAGGAGCAAATACTTTGTGGTGTTCTTACTCAGACAAGTCAAATAAGTTGGTTGAAATTGGACCAATCCAGGGATGGGTAGCCTGTATGGATTGTGGTAGCTTATTTGGTGAGAAATCTTAGAAGGCAATCCCAGCCTCATGGAAGGAGAATGCTGAGCAGCTGAAGGGGAGTGGATGTTTTTCATTCTGGTCTAAAACTTCAAAATAAACTCTGACTGTATTTGGCCACTTTCTTAAGAACACGAAGGCTTGGCCAGTTTCTAAGTCTACCAGCTTTGTTCTTGGTTCCTGAAACGTGCTTCTGATTTCATATGGATAAGGTCTGCAATGCGTCCTGTCCTAAAACAGTGCTGGGCTGCTAGGTGTTGTTACAGTTTAGATGCATTTTGGCAGAACATTTAATAATTGCTGTACGATTGTTTATTGTTCTAAGTTTGTAATGTACTTCTGAGATGAAAAGAGCTATAGAAATGTAGTCGTATTATCAGTGCATGGTTTTTCCTCATCATTGTTAATGCAATGTTTGCTGCCATGACTGTAGTTAACCAGCCATGTGAATGTTAACTATAGTTCACAGATAAGCCCTTTTTTCCTAAAACAGGAGTGAACAGAGCCAGACAGACCTATAATTCATTCCCAAGCAGATGAAAATAGTTTCCAGTATCAAGAGAATTCAGCTTTTTAACAGCACACACCCAAACTGGTAAATTGCAGCTCAATGCCATGGGAGAAAAGCTTTGACTTTGTCAGCTGGTCTGGAAAAGAAGGCCACACATTCTTTCGTATTATAAAGCTGCCCTGACTGGGTAGCCATTTGGCTGGAATACCCTGTCATCTCCACCACCCACTATTTGGAGATTGGTTTTGAGGCAGCACCATAAATGTTCCTTCCCTCCCCTACAACCTAGTATTAGATTAATATAAAAAGGTACTGAATTCCCTGCAATAGCAGTTTGAGAAGCTGAGGTACCCAGTGGGGCACTGAGCTGAGAGTCTGTACACGTCTATAGAACACACTGGTTTTCTCCAGTCCATCCCACAAACAAGTCCACAAAACCCCATGAGATAATTCCTCACTACTAGTCCCATTTTTAAAAATGGGGAAACCAAAGCACAGAGCCATCCAGTGAAAGGAAAAGGTCAATTTTAAAAATAAACCTGTAGCTCTTCTACAAGAGAACTTTTTTTAGGGTTACTGATGCTTTAATCTAGCCTGAAAGTCTATTCTAATATTAGCAAAATAACCATTTCCCAGGAAGCTGACAGAGGTAGCTGTGTGCCTGTGAAAGCTTTGTAAATAGTTACTTCACAAATATACTGGGATCTATCAGTAGTTTGGTGTTTGAGGTAAGGCAGCTGGAGCCCCCTGAGAGTGCTGGAAACACCTTCTCCATCTTCTTTCAGCCACCACTGTGTCCTGTCCTTGACTGGTCTTAGAAATGACATGCATTTTTGAGTTTTTTGAAATATGCTGGTCTAATCCTAGTAAAGATGCTACTTGGCTGTAGGAACTCAAAACTGAAGGCTACAACAGCTGCTTCCTCAGAAGAAGCTGTTTTGAACTGTATCAGCTGTGGTTGCGCGGGGTAGTGGTGAGAGCCCGCATGGAGGCGAGGGGTGGGTGCTGCTCTGCTCACCCAGCTCTCTCACAGTCTCTTACAGTCCCTGCCATCCAGCGTGCAGCGCTCTCGCTGGCCCACTGCAGGCTGTATGGGTCAGGGGGTTGTGTTACAGAAAGGATCTGCTCTATCAAACTTGGTTTATTTTGTACCTCCACTCCTACCACCGCTTTTGCATTGCAGTCAGGCCAAGAGGCCCGTGCACTATGACAGCTGTAACACAAGCCATGTCCTGCTTCTTTTATCCAGACATGTGTTTCATATTGCTTGTCCCCCCCACCCCCCGCATATTTACAACACGGCTGTGGCTGGACAAGCCCCCAGCCAAACCCATTAAGATTTTCTTTTGGCGAGGAAAACTTGGCATGTTTCTCTACCTCCCTCCCTCCCCTGCCCTTCTCCCCTTGCTCCTCCCTCCTTCCTTTTTTTTTTTTTCCCCCTAAACTTTGTTTTTCCCGTACTTTATTTGAGAAACCATTTTAACTGCAACAAACAACCTACAGAGACCCTTCATTAGCAGGGTGGAAACTTCCCTCCATCCCCTTTGAACCTAGGGCTAGACTGGAGGCGTGTGTAGTAAGTAAACTTTAAGTAAACTTAACTACTAGATCTTCTCACACAGGCAGTTCCAATTCGGTGTTTGTACAACACCTAGGTCAGAAAGACCTGCCCGCTTCCACGTTAATGGGAATGGAGAGAAGTGGAAATACCTGATCCTTAACATTCCTCCTTACAGGCATATGTAGGATTGGGAAGACATCCTTATGTGAGAATTGGCTTTCTGCCTCTCTCCCTACCTGTTTGTAAATAGCTGACTGCCCACGTGCCTCCTGGAAGAGGCAAGGGGTCCCAGCTCAGTGCTAGGAGCTGCAAGAGCTTCCAAACAGAGTAATCAGCTTCAGATGGCAGAAAACAGGGGCTTATATGGTCAGTCTGCTTGCCAGCCCCTTTCCACACCCAGCAGCTAACGGAGATGGGAGTACAGGTTGTGGGACACCTCTCTATGTAAAACTAAGGCTTACAGTGGGTAATTTCATGTATTTGGCCGTTCCTTTTCCTCTTCCTTCCCTTCTCACTGCATTCAGACCTGACGGTCTTGTTACTGTAAACCATAGCCCATGTATGTGTATGTATATGTTCTCTCAGAGCAGTGGTTTCTCATGCTGTTTTGAATAGTAAACCAGCATCTGTGCCTGATACACTAGCGGATTTTTTTTTTTTTAAATGCTCTTGTTGGAAGCTGTGTAAAATCTTTCCATTTATTTCTATTGGACACAGATGCTTAACCTGCGCAGTGTGCTAGTTCCCCGACCAGGGTTTGTTTTCAAGCTCTCTGCTTGCTTCAGGATTTGGGGGATAAAACTTAGCTCCAGCTGGGAGGAGCTCTGGAGAAATGCTGTGGCTGGTACCCACTTAGTTTCGCGTGTGCTTGCCTGTGCTGGCAGCTACTCGCTAATGGCACACACACTACTCGAACAGAGGAGCAGACCAGCTCTCTTGTCCACACTAAGTATTACTCTATCAAGTCATCACTGTGGAGAATGCCCTGTGCTAGACCTGCTTATCAGCTAAGGTCACATTCCATAACAGCAACAGCAAAACGAGCAGACAGCCTTTATAATCAGCGAAGAAGTTGCTTACTCCTGCTCTGACCGTCGAAGCAATGCAAGACTGCAGGCTGGGTCCTTTTGTTAGCGGTACGGCTGCAGCGCAGCTTTCTGCAATCCTGTTAAAAGCTTTTCTCTCGCCACCTTTGCTCCTGAGTGTCCCTTGCAAACAAATTCAGGCTAGCAAGCTCCGCTCAATGGCTGATTCTGCAGTTCACCATACAGAGCGCTACAAAAGCTCCAGCTACTTGCTAACTAGCTGAATGTTAAGGTGCTACGGTTGACCGAACACCAGCAATAGCTCAGCCTTACCCCAGCCGCGCCGCGAACTCTTCTTCTCCTCTTGTTTTTCTCTCTGTCTTCTGAAACTTTCACGTCATCTCTCCCCTCATCCTGGCTTGTGTCTCGCTCCTCGCTGGGCTCCTCTCCGCTCTGCCGCTGACAGCCAGCTGTTGTCTCTGCCTT